TGCTCTTCCGATCTGAGTAATAGCCTAGTATTTTGTTTTATGATTACGTTTATTATATGTATGCAGTAAATAAGTCACTGTCAAATATTGATTTTTTTTCTTTAAAAGCCATTATAATCGGAAAATTTTAAACTTTTGCACAAAACCTCCGTAAGTCGAATTTTCATACTTTAACCCTCTTTCATTCGAATTTCGATAAGTCGGAAACTCTTTTTAATAAAGAACCTTTCGGAAGAGTTTCTCTCTTCCCTTATTGAAATTCCGAATTATCGAAGTTCGACTGTATATGCAATATTGATATAGTAGTGTGTATAAGATATTTATATTTGATGTGTTTACTACTACATCAATGTCACACGCATACATATTTTCAGATCATCTCTTTCTCTTTCTCTTATACTAAGCACCTAGACTTGTTAATAAAATAAAGCACAGTACTATTCTTTCATGTAATTCCGACCGTGAACCAAGCTTATTTTACATATATGATGTACAAAAAACGTATGTAATAAAACGTAATATAATAAAACGTATATATGGCTCTTGACAATAATAATCAAAACTCTTTAAAAATACTTAATATAAACATTAACTTAAATTAATCTTTACACTAGTTGTTAGGATTGCGTTTCCTAAAATAGTTTATTTAATAATAAATAATCCTCACCTCAAGGAATATAGTATTTAAATGTAAACATAAAAATTAACATATTATTAATTCCAGCGTTTATACGAGGTGTCTTATTTTAACAATACTATAAAATACAAAAGTTATAACTTATAAGAGTTATAAGCTTATATTTAATTTAAACATTTTAACGAGCATTCAAATAAATCACATAAAATCATTTTTATTATTTTCTAAATCCCAATTAATATTGAATATGATAAAAAACATTAAAAATTAGGTATTATATCATTTATATAGCATTTTTTCAGGAAAAAACAAATCCTGGTTTTTTCGGGAAAAAAAAGATTCCGTTTTTTTTCCGATAATTTGAAAAAAGCAGGTCTTTTAAAACTATATTCTTCCTTTCCTTTCTCTCCCTTTCTCTCTCAAACATCTCATTCTGTCCTTCTTTCCACAATCTCCCTCTTTCCTTCTCTCTCTCTTTTTCCTCTCTTTCTCTCTCTGTCCTTTCTCTCACTCTATCTCTCTCTCTCTCCCACTCCTCTTCCTCTCTCCTCTCTTCTAACTTTATAACTTCGAGAATCCATGTTATATACGGAGTAATCCTAGTAAACTTTTCGGGTACATTGCCAAAGCAAATTGACATACCCAAAATACCAATTTGAAGATACCTGCCATTTTCCGATTTTATGATGAGAGGAGCACCGCTCTGAAAATAAAAAACCAAATAATAAATTTACGAAAAGATATCATCAAAATTCACTTACTAAAGCTGTCTAAAATGATTTAAGTTGATTCATATTTATATGCCTCTTAAATTAGTATTCCATATTTGATTCATTCTATAGCATTACAAACTACATATCCAGCGAGAGAATATCCACGGAAAAGACGAAAACTTATCCATTTTGCGCAAGTCTCTCATAGAATTCTTAAAAAGCTCCTCTTCTCCACAGAGTTGTTGCTCGTGCAAATTGTCAATGACAGGCGGGTAGTGCAACGCCGCTCTTTCTCTCTCTCTCTCTTCCTTCTCTCTCCCCCCTCTTTCTCACTCTCTCTTTGTCTCACTATGCTGCCGCTATACATATACAGACTGTGGACATTCTCTTGCTGGACAGAGACATAGTTTTATTATTAATTGTGATTATTTTACCTGACAAATATCTTCTCCCAATCCTGTGGCTGTGCAGACGGAATTGTCACTGACGTCGGTGATAGACCCAGAGGGTCCGAATCGTTTGCATTTAGTATTTTGAATAACCGATACTTCAGCGTATTTCAGCATTTTCGATCCTCCCCACCCCGTGACAAGACCATTTTTATTTGCAAAACTTTCATTTGTATAAGGAAGTGCTATCAATTGAATAGTATCTAAAATAGAAAATGTTACATTCGGTCATTTCTTAAAATCAGTATTGCGACATGGTATTCGTAATATTTCCTTAATATAAGTTTAATTAAGAAAGTCATGAATTAAAGGATTAATGAGCTCCAGATAAGCTGCTTCATAATCCGTTTCAAAAAGTACACTGGGAGATAAAATTAAAAATATTAAAATTGGAAAAGAAGTTAACACAACTTCTCAAATGGATCAATTTAACAGAATCTTTTCGGAACACATTGAAGGCCAAATATTTTGAATATTCAAAATATTGAGAAATTGAAAATATGTTTCTCCTATCATAATAATCTTTTACAATTTACTAAAATAAATTGTTATTTTTGTGTTTGTGCATCGTTTCACACGTTTGTATATTGTTTATACAGAAATAATATATTATTTTGTTACATGTTCGGTACTGGGAAGTACTTTTTGAGATATGCAATTTTCCATGAAAGACGTATGCTACGGAACAATAGACCATTATCCTCAAATTTGGTACAAATTTCTCAAAATCTGATTTGAAAGTAATATCAAATGAAAGGTCTCATCAATCTGAAGCAAAACAAATTCTAGCATGGACTCACCACGTTTCAGAAAATAGCTTCTAAAAGTCTCAAACTGACAGACGCCACTTTTGTTTATATAGCTTTTAGGACTTTGATTGTGCTCTAATTTGTTCCAAAAATTGATTTTAGCAAAATATATTTAAATTAGGGTCGCCAAAGGTTTCAGACACGACTGCTCGAGAAACTCAGCATTAGGGTAAAAAGTGAATAATTAATTGGTTTATCGAGTACAATGTGAACACTATTTACTCGAGAGTCTCGAGTCAAAAAATGATAAAAGATATTACAAGAAAACACTTTTGGGAACCTAATTAAGAGGTTATAGATTTTATTATTCGATACAGATATGTTCAATTGATGGTTCACTTTTTGCCTTGATGCCGGAACTCTTGAGCGGTTCCAATTAAGTCTGTAACCTTTGGTGACCCCAATTTAATCATATTTTGCTAAAGTTTCAAATTTTGGAGCAAGTTAGAGCATGATCAAAGTCCTAAAAGTCATACAAACAAAAGTAACGACGGTTTTGGGACCTTTAGGAGATGTTTTCTTTGAAACAGTGAATCACTCCAAGCTACATTTTTTTGTTGATTTCAGATTGATGAGACCTTTCATTTGATATCACATTCGGACCGGATTCGATGTACCTTTGAGAATAATTTCGGCATCAGTTTTTTATTTTTATTTTAACACTTAAACGCTTATTTATTTACTGTTTTCACGAATATTGTTTCTATATTTCATTAACTATATGCTAAACGTAATACATTATTCAACCTTATTTTCGATTCCTTCCAATTTTGAGAAAAACTTATAGGTGTTCGGTGCTAGGCGCACTTTCCCTACATATGTATGTACATGTACTGAAGATTATAGAAAAAGCTATACGATTTTTTGTTATTGATCCTTTTCTACATTTGTCATTTAAATTGTTATTCACTTTCAGCGTAATTTTGATTTGAAATAATAAAATATCGACGTATAAATAGACGCGAATTAAGAAATAATTTGTATATAATACTTACCGGAAAAAGGAATATTAAACGGCATGTACAATAAGGCAATATCGTAAAGGTTCTGACCTAGGATGTAGCTTGGGTATACAAATGCTCGGGTTGTATTCATTGATACACCAGAGCCTCGAAGAAAACCGTCTTGTACATCACTGTCGATAATGCCGAACGCTAAGGTAAAAATCCATTTTCTGAACAAAGACATACATTTTTATTAATATTAAACTTCTCCTAATTCAAAATTTAAAAAATACATCTATATTAAATAATTTAAAGTATCTAGTTTTTGATGAAAAGAATATTTCTATATCATCTGTATTTTACAAAAATAGTTTTTTTTTTCTAAAAACATAAAATAATATTTCTGATTAGATTCTTAACCATTTTGCTTAAAAACATAATACACATCTTAAGCGAATTTACGTTTAATTTATTGTATAATTAAGATATAAACTTCATTTTACATATCAGAAATATCTAAAACAATGAAATCTATTGAAAGAAATTGCCAGAAAAGTTTATTTTTTATTAAATATTAGGATGTTCAGTAATAGATACATTATATGATACAATTGGTATGCGTCCGATAACTGAACACGCGTTCCGTTGTTGATACATATTACTTCGAGTGATGTACATATTACTGAATGTCACATAAGATAGACTTTTGACAATTGTTAAATTGAAAAATTATGAGTATCATTATGTTTATATGTATTAAATTTCACTTAAATTTTGATAAAATTTATTTATTGTGAAAAATGTATAGAAAATATAATATATATTTATAAAATATTCCCATTAAATGAGGAAAATCTTTTCAAAAACAACAGATCATACAAAGTTGGTTGTATCGCATTTGAAAGTAATTTACTCTAGTTTATTCTCAAGATAAAATTCAATCAACGGTGATGTAACATGTGATGAATGGCTATCTACGTAAAGTAACATTGGAAATAATTATTTTGGCTTTTGTCGATGACATCCAAAACTTGTAAGAATGGCTCAATATGTCGTGCATCGGAAGAAAAATTACGTGAATAAAGTCAAAACTTTTTTGGAACATAAAGATTTTATTAATATTGAATCTTATCGAGTATTTAATCTTGATAAAAGTGCATTTTTTATGTCTAAAAGCAAATCATATTCTTGCAAGAAAAGGTTCTGTGTACAAAATAGTAATTGACGAAAAAAGAGAGTTTAATTGTCTTGTTTACAGTGAACGCCGACGGAAATATGGTGATGATTTTATTCTCATCAGAGACAATCAGACAACCCAATAATGTTGTCAGTAAAATTTCTTAAAATTGAAGTATTGGAACAACAGAAAGAAGATAGATGTGATTCTTTCTATAAGTACATAGTTTTCCATTTTTGATTTATAGATAATGCCATTCAATTTCCAGTGTACGCATTAAAAAACGTTTTGTATTTATGTTGGAAACAGTCCACTCACGTTATTGTTAAAATTTTGTATCGAATTTTTAACACATTTGATTGTTAAATTAACATAATGTGATTACGTTATTTTTGTATTAAATTGATATTCAATATTTCTCAGTGTCAAAATAAAGCAAATTATAAGTAATGAATAAATAATATAAAAATAAAGTAGTTTTAAACCGTAAATTCTAAGATAAACGAATAAAAGATATTTATCTTAATATATAATACTTGTTAATTTTACATACTATAAGTGTTAATTTTACTAAAATAATACTTCTACAATTTGTTTCCAAATTGTATTAAAGTATTACATTTTTTGTGTTAATTTTTACATAATTATGTTTGTGTTACTTTCTAACTACTTCTACTTCTATTCATTTTGCGTTAAATTAACACAAAGATTTGAATGGACCGTTTAAGACATGTGAGATGTGTTAAATTTAACACAAATTTTTCTACTGTGTATTTTATGTAGATGGCCATTTGTCACATGTTCTACCATCATTGATTAAAATTGTCTTGAGAATAAAATAGAACTAATTGCATTTTGCAAATTAATGTAAATTTGAAAAATATTTTAAAAATATATAAAATTTATTTAAAAATGTTTAGCGGAAAATAAGTATTATAATTGTAGGTATTGTATTTAAAATTAATGTAAACTTAAAAAACATTGAAAAAAAAAATCTTGTATTTCTTCCTTTATGATTATTTGTAGATTTCCAAGAGTGGATAAAATTGGATTAATTTTAAAATAGGTACATGTTCAGTTTTAAGAATATGGCTTCCTTGTTATTCAGTAATTGGATCATATGCATGTTTATATGTTCTTCATAATTATTTAAAAAAAATAAAATTAATTTTTATTATTTCAAAAATAGATAGTGTGCATTATAAAATAATGAAAGAATTTTTTAAAAATACGCTTATTTTATAATTTTAAACCAATTACACATTATTATTTTTTTTCACTGTTCAGAAATTAATACGTTTACCTTACAAAAAATCTTTGGTGGTGCCTCGGTGCATAAATATTCAATGATGGATTCTCTACGCAACTACCAGTTGTGAGAACCCATCTTATATTTATGATTGTGCCACTGCATTGGTATTGCTTGTTGTCCTCAAATCGAGTTACTAATGCCATGAATGGAAACTGTCCGATCCTCGCGTAATTTCCGCCTGCTATTCCTGTTGAGTTCATTGGTTTATCTGTTGTTTAGAAAAAATGTAACGAAAATAATAAGATCATCGTCTTCATAAAAGTTTTGGTAAAAGTTTTGTAAATTGTGTGCGAAGGTCATACGCGCGTAAAATTATATATTTTTAAAAATATAAATTATTTAAGTATTCCATTATTATAATTATTAAATTGTGGAAATTAACAATGTTGTTATTTAGTTGAACAGAAAGTTTGTTTTGTTTTTTGCTAAAAGATGACATTAATATAAATACAAAAAGAAGTTTACCGTTCAGCCCAAAACTTAATTTAGATTTTATTAAAGAAAAAAATCTTTATTTGATGTAAGCAAAAATAATATAAACTTGCAACAAATATTTATAAAATTGCGTTAATAAAATCCACCAAAACTTTTTGAAATACACGTATGATTTTTATGCCTTTATGCTCACCATCGATATTTGCATTAGGATAATTTCCAGATGTAGATCTGATCGTAGGGAGACTTTGAACGTATTGACATATAGCTAAACTGATCAGAAATATCACCACATTTTTCAGACCCATGATTGTTTTACGCGCTCTCCCTGAAAATTTCCTGTCTATGTAATTGCGCCGATATTCGTACAATAATGACAATTAACGAGATTAAAGTTTTTGACAACTATTCTGAGAGACGTATAGTGTCACGCTTATGGCAAATGTTACGCGCGCGACGCGGATAAAAAACCGAAGAGAGGTTTGAGGAAGGATGTAGTAGCCCTTACGATTTTTCTCGCACGATCCTTGGGTTGCGAATCGCGAAATGAAACGAAAAGTTGGATGCCAGACGCGCACAAGGGCAATGTCAATCGCGACAGTACGCGAGAACTTCGATACAAATTACTCGAAACGCACGAAATTATCTTTTCTAAACATGAACTGATACTACGACAGCGAACCACAACGATTGTTGATTGTGCGTGGGCTGGCTAACTCGACCTAACGGTAGAGGGGCACGGCTTGCAGGCCGTAAGGGCTCCGCTAATAGAACGAGGATGGGAACGCGCGGCGAGAAACGCAACAAGAAATTGTGATTAACAAGGAATAGCAGGGTATATTTGAGACAACAAAAAAAATGAAGAGTTTTGGTAGTTACAGAAAAAGATGGTTCTGACTTTACAAGATTATACAAAAGGTAATCTCATCCTCACCGGTTTCCTTTCAGCTCATCCGTCTCCTCGTCCGACAGGCCTCTCTGCTTCCGGACTGGGATTTCTCGATCGTTCGCTCGCTTGTTTGCTCGTTCGCACCCGGACATTCAACTTAGTTTAAAGATCACACGGAAAAGAGCGGTCTGGATTGCGATAAGAGTTCATAAGGGTTCGATTTTCTTCTGCGCAGGCGTTGATGACTGTACAGCCAAGAACATGGTAGATTGTTATAACGATTATATCCGCGACGAGAGCAGATGATTCAATAGAATTAGATAAAAAAAACCTATACAATTTTATCGTGTTTTTGATAAATATCAAAATTGTTATTTTTTAATCTATTTAGTGTATAATGTAATAATAGTATATAATTTAAAAATCACTATAAATAACGCTTATCTTTGAACATATGTATTTAGTCAAAATTGATATTATTGTACAATGTTTTCAGTTTGTATATAATTTATTATGTAATATTTTAATTTTAGAGATTTTGTGTCTTTTATATACAAGTAATTTTAAAATTTTTCACAAATGTAATAAAAAATATGTAACAAATCATAATTTTCAGTTTGGATTAGATAACTCGATAAGTTATACATATAAAAAAACATACACGTTCGTATTTAATATTTAAGATATATAATATTATTAAAAAACGATAGAAATAGATAACTTGTCTATACACGGAAAGAACAATTTTGCTGAATCCAGATCTGAAAATAATTTTTGTTCAATAATTAAAATTATTTTATGCAAAAGTCAAAACGATTGCTAGAATATCAAAACGTTTTATATAGCATCAGTTTTAACATTTCAACAAATTATTTTGATGATTCAATAAAAAATTATTTTCAGATCTGTTTTTAGTAAAATTTTTAAGTCTTTCAATAAAATCGTTCTTTCCGTGTAGTAGCTCAAATGTGAGTCCGAAAGAAACTACTACTAAAACTATAAATTTAACTATAAAATTAGATAAAATTTCAATAAAGTTTAAATCTATTTTTATCATTATCTATCGGATCTTTTAAGCAGGATACAACAGTTAGCAAAACTGAATGTGTAATACATTTACATTATTATAATAAGAAATTAATGCAAGAGGTAGTAATTCTTGTACTTTTGCTGCATGTAAAAATATTTGTAGACTTACAGAAAATTTCTTATAATGTTGTTCAAATTCAGTGCTTGTACAGCCCTCAATATTGCTAACAGTGATCGATGACCACTGACATCAAAGAAGCCGACAGCTATCGTAACTGTATATTTAATTAAATTGTGTCATGGAGCACAATTGTGCGATCCAAATCCCAGCTAATCATAGCCTGACGAGTTGGCGAGTCTCTTCTTATAGGGTTTCTAGCGAGAACTCTTGCGGCTCTCGATTCCTCCTTCCTAATTTCGATTAGCGGCGTTCCGCACAGGATGGCCAGATTGAGCTACATATCTCGAATTGGGCTACTTACACACTGCAAATGAAAATGATAAAATAAGATAATAAATATTAATTTCAAAAAAAAATCACTGAAAATATATTCGAATATTTTCATAAAATGATTTTTTAGAAATTTGTTAGACATTTTTAGAAACGTTTATAAGTTAAATTGCAATTACTCCAACAATTTAAGACAAAAATTTAATAAATGGATTTAATAAATGAATTAAAATTTTTCAAATTTTAAATTATAAATATAATTGTCTTCCTAAATAAATAACACAAACATGATTAATAATATTTCAAAGCAATATTACTAGGCCTAGTAGATTACATTAAACTATACAGGGTGTTCAGAAAATCGCCCCTAATACTTCGGAAAGTGATTTCGGGAAAGAAAAGAAGGAAAAAAAACTCTACACCTAAACATAGGTCTGGAAATGAGTTGTTTTTGACTTATAGTCATTTTTATAACCGTAAATAAATCATAACAACAATTATAATAAATTATGATTAATATGATTATGACAATAAAAAATAAATTATGATTTTTTTAAGTTATAGCTACTTTTATGTTAAAAAATCGTAATTTTTACAATCTCCGAGATTTTCGAAAATTTTGAAAGGAGACAAGATTTTCGAACGTCCGAAATCAAGACGAGAATATATCGAGATTTTTTTCGAGACAAGATCAGATTTTACAAAATCTCTTGCGGCATATATATACCTACTTTTCACATTAATATAATATTGTATAAATATTAATACAATGTAGCTTGATTTAAAATAATGAAATAATAGTTTATTCCACATAGTTCCGTGAAGTTTTCACGGAATTAATATGAATTATAGTCAACGATTCAATAAATTAATGTTCTTTTCTGAGATATGCCAATTGTTGCAATTAATTCTCAAGTTCGGTATATTATTTGCAAACATCTATGCTATTATTCAAAAACTCGTAATATGTATTATTCGAAAATACAAATAACTTAAGCTCGTCGCCGCGATCGGAGCTCCACTTCGCTCAACTTTAAAAGATATATGTATATCTAACATGAGTAAGAATTTATTTGTACACTTATCATTTAGATAGAATTTATCTAATACATCCCAATGCTGATAAAACATTCGAATGTTGTAGGTTCCATCGTACATTCCGGAACGCATGGTAGAAACTTCTAATTAAAAATATAATCAGCATGTGTTATACAGAGTGTCCGAAAAGTGTGGCAACCCCTTATAATATTTCCATTTATTCACGGACAGCTTAATTTACAAAATTATATATTTTTTTTATCTGACTGAATTATATCTGACTTCTGTAAAAAAAAATCTGACTAAGCTACACCTTTACTTGATTGCGTGCGACTTCGGAAAAAACGAAAGTTTGACCAACAAAATAAAACATTTTTTAAATGGTATTAATGTAAGTATATGACCACTTAGGCGAGCGAACATCTTAGATAATTTATATATGTTAAAATTATATATTTAAAAATAACTCTGATGCACTATGGTTACATTGTTATTGCAACTAACTTTATCGCTGAAATTTAATGCAAACCGAAACGTTTGGGAACTGTATGATTATTCATTATTGTATGTTTGATTAATTATTAATATATATATATATATATATATATATATATATATGTTTTATTTGCACCATCGTGCCTAGCTCATTGCTCTTTATTGTTTCTCATTTTAATTGTTTATTATTTAAGTAGCTCTTAGATACATAATTTAATTATCTCTTTCTAGTCTCTCTTTAGTCGGTCCTTCATGACTGAAGAACATAATTTCTATTTTGACGAGGTTTTATACAACCTGCTTCCACTGATCCCTATCAGCAACCATCCTTATTGCTGTATGGAACTTAAGATTTCCATCTTCTTTTACTCGGTCGGTCCATCTGCTGGGAGATCGTCCTTGTGGCCTTCTGTCCTCTACACCAGTGACAACCAATTTTTCGAGCTTTTAGTCTCCTCGTCTGACTATATGGCCGAAATATGTCAGTATTTAATTATAACATTTATTAAATGAGCAAAGAGCCGAATTAGATGTTCGTGTTATACTATTTAAAATAGCTTTAATATACATATAATAATAAAGTAGAATTACATACAAACGTTTCGATCCTATACATCGGATCATCAATGTAATAATAAAAGACTTACATAAATATGTATAATAAAATGGTTAGATCATAAATATACGCAAGTATTGCTTCCCGCGGATGGTTGAATTCACGTTAAACATCAGATACCTCCGTTGAGGCGAAAGAACTTCAGATGCAGAGTTCTTATAAAAGTAATTCTCCAAATAAAATATACTCGTCAAAAAGAGTACTTATTTGCTAATAAAAAAGAAACTTATTAAAAATGTAATGACGATCGTAATAATACAGTTCCAATAGTGTAATTTTAAGATGGATTTTAGAACTGAATAAAATTTAAATTTTTGAACAACCAATTGAAAAAATTATCAAGTAAACGTCAAATAATAAGAAAAGAATTATCTCCACGACATATATTCTAAGAAATATAATTTATTTATACATATATAATACATATACATAATTATGGATCTTATGATATACAGGGTGGACCATTTTAATCCATCCAGTCGAATATCTCGAAAAATAAGCACACTAGGAAAAAATGTTTCAGACAAAAGTTGTAGGGCTTCGAGGGGGACATAAGATGATAACATATCTCTTATACACATCTCTGAGCGGGCTGGCAA